AGCAGCACAAATATTAATTAGTCCCGTGGAACTAAAGATTGCTACATGTGCCAAGAATTTACACACCTGTTTGATAGAAATACATGGTTTAATGCAGAGATGACAACTTGAAAATCCAAAGTTACTCATCTGATCTCTGCCCTTTCTTTTAAAACAGCATAATGGGGTTGCTGTGCTGGGCACAGAGCCTCTGTTGTTTCATGCAGTTTTGCTGGCACTAAGTTTTAGGGCTCTAACAAAATCATGCATTTATTTTTCTCATGATGAGGTGTGTTTGCAGCTGAAATGTTATGTCTGGAACTGGTGTCAGGGCAGTAGGGTTGGCTCAATGAGGACTGTCAGGCCGTGCAGGCAGACAGATGGGGCTGCACCACGTAAGACAGAGCAGTGATGAAGAACTGAAATTGTAAAGGTATTATTGGGGTCATTAAAGACAAGCTAGCTGTCAATTAATGCCACATGCATGAAAGTTCCAAAGTTAACTTACATGGCCATCTCTCCTACTACTTCTTTATGAAATGCCATTTAAAATACCCTTTTCAAGTGTATTATGCACTTACTTGGTGCTGGGAGCTATAGTAATGTCAGTGCTTCACCATGTGAAGATTTAGTGCCTCACTGGCCATTTGGTCTTCATGGCTGTACTACACATCGTTCAGAGGCAGCTCACAGCTCCACGGGAACCAATCAAGTGCTTCAAGGAGACAGCAGCTCAGGTAATTTGCAAAGGGGAGTAAAATACATTTTCCAACTAGTTGAACAAAACTCTGAAGTCAGAAGGAAATCTGACAGTGGACCTAGTTCCATGAGGTTTGTCAGAATTATAGGAGAGTTTCTGCCTCACTGAGAGACAGAGGCTTTTTTCTTTCACTGCCTGAGAACTGTTTTAATTAAGAAGCTTGACCAGACAGGTGTTTGATTGCCACCTCTTCATGCAGATATGAATCTAAATTTTAAAAGAGCTTTAGCAAATAGTGCTTCTTTTCGTTTAACTCCTCAGGACAACAGATCTCCCTGTCTTCTGACATAAAAAGGCTTTATTTGAGGTCTGAGTGGCCTTTGCTTTCATAACTTGGTGACGAATAGGATAGTGATAGGAACTCTGCCCAGTTCCTTCAGAACACTACCTACTTTTATTCACCTAATAGGAGCTCAGGGAACTTTAGCCCTTACTTAAAAGACAATAACATGTTTTTCATCTGACTGCCTTTGTGCATGACAACATTACGTTTGTTGGAAAAGTTCAGAGCTGTCAGTGGCTAATGCCAGATACTGCGTTTCTGACGTAGGTGCCTGGAGTAGGTCAGAATGGACTGTTCAGTATGATTCTTCTCTTGCAGAAGGTACATCTGGGAAGGTGAAGCCTGACTGTCAGCCCTAGTCTGAATGTTCATATAGCTTGTGGAAAAAGCGCATGGTGACAAATCTGTAACGGGGCCTGACAGCGCACTCAGTCAGAGCCTTTGGAAGGAGGGACATGCAGAAGGTGTTCAGAGGAAAGGTACAGAGAGTAAGGCAGGCAGGGGGTGACAGGTAGAAAAGGAGCATATACAGACATTGGGTAGGTGCTTTGGAATATTCTGGCAACTAAGGCCTTTATCACCGTTACCTTTAAAACATTTCAGAACCTGGAATTTGTTCCCTTGTGGAATTTTTTACTAAGTAGATGCCTTTTGTCAGTTCAGCAAATGGCACACAAAGAGAGGCTCTCTGCAGCAGGCCAGACAGCCTGGAGTTTTGTTTCACTGTGGACATTAACGAAAGAGTTGTAAAGGAAGACGTTTTGCAACTCTTGGCATTGGAAAGAGAACCTTAAGATGTGCTGGGTACACATCCTCAGTGAAACATTTGGAGCTGCACTTGGGATGACCCTGGCTAGAATGGGATAAAGAACTGAAACGTTCCCAGCTAATCTTGACAAAACTGGGAATGAAAACCACACATATTAATTGTAGCACATTACAGGAAATGAATACATTGCATGAGCCTAGACCTTCAGCCAGACCCAAAATTGAGGAAAATGGTCAACTGCCATTCATTCTCTCCAAGAGTTCAGAGAATACCTGCTAAGAGCCCTGGACTTGTTTCCATTACTTTCTAAAAATTGCCTTGTACCTACCTCATGGTGCTAAATATTGCTCAACAAAATCTCTGGCTGCATCAGAGCAAACTCAGCCAAGAGTGTTGTGTTAGTCTGGTAACCTTCACTCATTTATGAGGGTAAATCTTGAGTTAGCTCCACTCTTACAGGCTGCTGAAGTCCAACACACACAGCAGCAGAGCTCTCTGCAAGCTGTACCAGGTGCTGCAGAAACTGAACCCTACTTAGAGACAATGAGCAGAGATGCCAGGAAAAGGAAGCATGTTCTTTTCCCAGTAGATTGTCTATGAAATGGAGAATGCAGTGCAGATGACACTTCTTTTCATCTACTAGAGCTACTCATCAAAGCTATTTTGTTCTTTTACAGTAAACAACCTACAGTGTGTTAATTTGCTGGAGAACATGGGAAAATCAAAGCAATTTTCATACAACATGAGACCAACCACTGCTGCAAAATCAAAGAATACAAGACCTAAGCACTAAGCAGAACTGAATGTTTGGAATTTAAAATCCATTTCGGTACAACTGCTATCTTTCGTAACGTATAAGCCATCTACAACATATTAAACTTGAACACATTTTCAGTTTTGTATTATCTCAGCATTACTTGCCAAGTAGACTTCTAAGTTAGGAGCTGGACTCGTTTTGTGTACAGATTAGTTTTTAAATGCAACTGTTTCTTGACTGGCACAAGATGATTATCTGAATTGCACTTGGAAACAGAAAAGGAAGCACTAGGCCCCGCATTATTACGGTGGTGTTCCAGGGGCTACCTAAGTTTTCTGTTGTACAAAGTAGGGAGTTTTGACTGTGTTCATCAAACACAGTTTCAAATGAGAGGGAAACTGTACTAAATATGTAGCAGTTAGGAAAAACTGCTGCTTGACTTCGCCTCAGATTTATTTAATTAATTTCAAAATCCCAACAGGAATGGAAGAACAGCCTTCATGGTCCACTTCTTTACTAAAGAAACAATTATTTCTTAAGTAACTGTGGATTTGGAAGGAAAAGTAGAGATGCTGACAAAAAACACTCAGTAAATAATTTGCTTTTATAGCCTATGGAAACTATTAGGGGTGTGTTTTCTACCTTTTGAGATTATCATCAATTTTTTAAATAACTATTTTTCTACATGCACAAAAAGAGTTTCTACAGAAGCAAGAAAAAATAGGTCTTTTACTAGCTTTGGAGCTGCCACAGTGTACAGTATTTACCTTGCACAAAGTATTTAAAAATACAAACTCAGCAAAAATAAAAGATGTTACTCTGGTTTCACAGTATATTGTTTTCTCTTTTTTCTTCTAGTTGATACTACATAATTTTTTTAATTCATATGATGCTTCAAAATATTAGATGAGCAGAGTCAATACAAGTCTGTCTCTCTGCACTTAAGCCCCAAGGACTGGATTTTCTTTAACACCCCTCACTGTGGTTTACCATGTCTATTAAAACACTTCTAGTAACACCCACGTGCTTGAAAAGAAAGGCACTAGAGGTGTGCAGTTCTCTGTAAAATTTTTATTCTGTTTCACTTACAAAAAAATTGACAAGCTTTGTTCCAACATCTTCCATTCAAAACTAAATAGAAGTAAATGCTTTACAATAAATGCAGTTCGACCTCTTTAATATACCGCGTTTATAGGGGCAGGTGCCTGGGGGTGAGAGGCAAGGTAGATGTTGAAACAGTAATGGAGGTCTGT